ACTTAAATGGACCCAAGAAAGTTTGGGTACCAAAATCAAGTGCTTAAGTTGTGTTTTCAAGGAAGCTTGAAGGAAAATTTGAAGAAAGAAAAATTTTCTGGACAATGGGTGTTCTAGACATATGATGAGACAAATCACAATTATTGAACCTTGAGGCAATAGAAAGAGGAACGGTGATTTTTAGTGACAATGCAAAAGGTCACATCAAAGGTATTGGCAAAGTAGGTAAGAATTTTGGTTTAATTATAGAAAATGTTTGACTTTGATGCTATCTTGGTATTATCTTTTGTCTACTGCATTTTGCTGATTTGTATGTTTCTTTTTGCTAATGAAAAAAAGGGGGAGAGGAACTTAAATGAAAATTATCTTTATTACTTGTTTGTGCAATTCCTATTGAAACTTGGAAGCATATTTTGTGGGGGAGCTTACACTTATTATCTTTATTATTTTAAGGCATGGTTTTGTCATCATCAAAAAGGGGGAGATTGTTAGGTTCTCTTTGTATTTTGATGATGATTTAAAACCATGATTCAAAAGAGTTTAATCTATTTTTGTGCTAAGTGTGCAGGAAAATTAATCCAAGGTTTCGAATCTTTCCCCACGATTAGAATTAATTCATGTTCTCCTTCTTCAAAGTTCTGGGTTTGAACCAATTTATTTTGGTTCGAATCAATCCCGAACTTTTGTTTTCCGAAAATGATTCGAACCATTATTTCTAGCTTTGAAGCAAAAAATTCTGGAATGTTAAATTTTGACAGCTCATCTATTCGTTTATTCTTATTCTTAATGGGCTTTAAGGGAACCATTGTCTGAGCACTTTCCAAAGTCAAGTCTAAGTTAGTAGAATAAGGTGGAACCTAATTGGGGCAATTGTGAGGTGGCTTTGAAAGGCTAAATGGGCTTTAATTGCAAGGCTCCTAACTAACTATTAAATGGACATAAAAAATCAGATCTGCTTGGGAGAGGAAGGACGAACTGCTATAGAAACTAGGTTTGAAATTGTTCTGGTTTCCTTCTTCTTCTCTTCTTGTAAGCTTTTGGGTTAATTGTCTTACAAGGGTTTTGTATTCTTCTTGGATTGGGATAATCCTTGAAGGGCTTGAGTGAGTTGAGATTCACTTGTAAGGGTTTAATCTTGCACCCACAAGCAAGAGTTTGTTCCAGTTTAATCTTGCACCCGTAAGCAAGAGATTTCTAGTGAATTGAACTCTCGAGCAAAGAGACTTGGGGAGTGGACGTACTCTGGATTGGAGGAACCACTATAAATCACGGCTTGATTTTTTCTTCCCTCTCTTTTATTTTTCTGCACTATATTACTCTTGTTTATTCTGCACAACAGCTTATATATATATTGAAAACTTCATTCACGTTTTTATAAAGGAAATGAAATGAGTTTTATATCTTAGGAATTGAGGGGTAGTTAGCTGGGATTACATTTTTATTTGTGCTTTGGTTTATATGGAAGAGTAGGAATAAGCTGGTTTTTGAAGGAATAAGGATGACTCCTGGTACTGTGTTTTGGCAGGCTCTCTCATGCCTTGGACACTTTTATTGCCTTGAACTCTTCTGTGTTGACAGTTGCTCGTACAGCAAGATGGGTGGGGTGGCAACCTCCGAATCAACCTTTTTTGAAGTTAAATACAGATGGCTCTAGGAACCATCAATCTGGATGTGCGAGTGCAGGAGGACTGATCCGTGATCACTTGGGTCGTTGGGTCCATGGTTTCACGGTCAATATTGGTGTTATTTCCAGCTTTATTACTGGGCTTTGGAGCCGCCGTGAGGGATTAAAGCTTGCTCACTCTTTACACTTGCAGTATCTCATACTTGAGATGGACTCATTAATGGCCATTCAATTAATTCAAGCTCGTCAAGTAGAGAGGGGACCTTATTCTATCCTACTTCCTGAAATCTTGGTCTTAATTGATGCTTTCAGTACCTGTATCGTTCGTCATACACTTCGCGAAGGGAATTGTGCTGCTGATTTTATGGCTTCCTTGGGCCACAAATCCCTTTTGGGTACTACCTTTTATCAGACTCCACCTGCTGGGATCAGTATGCTTATGCATGGAGACGCTATTGGGACCATGTTTCTTAAATCTTAGACTCTTATTT